TATATATATATATATATATATATATATATATATATATATATATATATGTTTGCATAAATTTAAAGGGCAGTAGTCCTCCCATTAATGTATGAACTGTAAATGCAACGAACAGTCTGTTGGATTTAATTAACCAAACCTGACTTCTGCTGGAAATCATCTCTTGGTTCGTAATGAAACTATTTTCCTTGTAATGTACAATTAATTATAGTCCCAAATATGGTTTATTTTATTTTGGTGGAGCTTTAGGTCTGTATTTTTCTAATTTAGAAAGCCAGAATAAAGTTTAATGAAAATAAATAGATACATCATCATATTTATTTTGAACAAAAGATAAAGGTCGTTTCAACTGTTAATTTGTTGGTTATATATATAATCTATCAGTTTTAACTTTAAGCAGGTAATCGTTGTGGGATTAGTCGGCTCACATAACAGGTTGGATATCCAAGTTAATAAAAAAAAAACAATGGTGACATGGGTTCCAGCTAATTATGATGCACCTCTATTTGTTGGAAATTCGTCTTTCTTGCTTTTCTTTGACAAAGTTAAGAAGAATATCCATCGAATAACTGGAAGCAAGTAGATCATGATCAAATGGCATATGTACTTCCATTTAGAGAGAAAGTATCTAAGCATTATGCAATTCGTATATGTATATATATGTGTGTATACATAATTATGTGTGTTTTCATTTTGCATTACTTCTTAATTTCCCATAAAGCATTTTCGCTCATTCTATATAATTTATTTGAAGCTATCACCGGTGTAAACACGTATTCTCTACAACATAACAGGCTCCGAGTAGATCTCAAATCTTGTTGAACAGGATAGTTGAGGCTCCTACAAAGACCAAACTTCCCGATAAGAACTTAACCAAACTTATAAACAAGCAGCCATATCAATTTATTTTGGATGATTGCTTAAATTTTGTCTTGCAAAAATTTACCATTTGTCAGTAATGGCTAAGCTTGTAAAAAAAATGCATACAAAACTGCCATCACTACACGTGTGTGTGCATTCCGAAATGGATCATGTGATAAAATAGTCCGGATGAGCGGGGCAGTAATTAGCATCATAGAGGCTCAAGGGACTATTTGCTCCTCAATTCTTGAGTGCCTTAAATAACACCAGTCACCCAAAGAATACATGAAATGCCCTTGTATGAGAAGTGGTCTGATGACTAACACCTTAAGGATTTGAGCGAGAGAGTAAATACCTGCGACGTAGAAGATGCAAATGGAGCAAATCGGCCTACCACTTGTTGAGCTTGACAGACTTTTTTGCGCATGGAACTAAGCAATCTTCCATATGTCAGTTTACTTTCTGTTTCCATAGCTTGGATGAAGCTAAAAGTCAAAGCACCTACAGCGTTGCCTGTGAAAGCCTGCACAAGCATTGATGCATAATGTTATTTAGATTTGGTTAATTCTAATTGAAGTTTATTATGCAGTTCACAATGATGATCTTAATAAAATCTAGAGAGAAATTTAGCAGGACCATCCGTTCAAGAAACTATACCACTAACACAGAGTTTCGCATTGTATCGTAGTTGGAATCAAAAAATTCATGTCATTACTCTTTGGAACCTTGAACTGAAATCAAGGCTAATATGGGTTGCTGTCTAAGTGCAAGACTCAAAACTCAAAACCACATCTGGGTTAATCAAGAAGAGTCCCAACCACTTAGACAAGCACAATTTAGCCTGCAGAAAACAATCATACACTCCCTTCCTTTTACATATATATACACACATGGAGACACATGTGAATACTTACCGATGTATCTGCAGAGTTTTGGTCATCAGCACAGGCACTAATACAAAGTGCTTTTCCGCCGCTAGTCCCTTTATTTGTAAGTTGGTGTTCTTCCCACATGTAGAGTCCATCCCTGCTTGGCAAAATGAAAGGCATGACGTTTCTTATTTTGGAAATTGCAATAACTTAAACAAATGAAAACTAGTATTTACAACGTTAACACTCCCCTACGTCCCAAAACAAAATAACGTCCAATTTTGCATATAGTTTAATAAAAAAAGTAATTATCGGTGACTAAAAATGAAAATTGTTTCTTTTCTTTTTTCAGTGTGACCAATCGAGGGAATATAAGATAACTGATACTTACTGGTTGATATTGCAAAGAAAAGGTAGATCTAGGAGAGTTCCACTGAAGCAAGTGTCAATGACACTATGAAGCGTTACTCCATGAGGTAGAGGTGCTACAATGGTGGCATTGATTTCATCATCTATTATCTTTCCAGCCTCTCTATAGTCCACAGGGCACAATGCTTCATCATACCCATCAGTCTCATCTCCATCTTCATCAACCACTTTGCAGCCATGCCCTGCATAGTAGAACATCAACGAGTCGCCTGATTGGCAACCTTGGACGAGCCAGCGCAATGCCTCTTCTATGTTACATTTTGTTGGAATCCTGGAGGGGTCTGATTCCTCTTCTGTAGCAAATGTTACACTGGTCATGATCACAAATTAATACATCTTTCTCTTGTTAATTGCATCGAGTTTTTCAGATGTGTTAAAATTAGCTACTGATGATAAGTATACTATAATCATGTCTATGATTTTCTTCATAGAAAGTTATTTAGCTCAAGGTATGGATATTTCAGAGATTAATTTTGTCAGTACCTGTAAGGACACGGATGGAAGCACTTGGAAATCCCAGTTTGTTCTGTAGTAATTGTTGCATGCTCCTAACATTATGAACACTGGCTTCAAGTTTCTTTTTGTGGCCATTGTAAGTCACACCGCATAGAACTGCCCTCTTCTTCCCATGCACCTGAGGAGTTTGTTGATGGATTCTGCTCAGTGTCAAACGAGACAATTGTGGTCGTAGAATACGATAGGATCTATCAACTTTCACCGCCGCAGGAGGAACAGTCTGTTGTGATGATGTTTTTGTCTGAGGCGGTTGTCCTTGAAGAGCATCCTGATTTTGACTCGTTCCTGCATTGACATATTGTCCGAGTCGGGTGAGAATGCAATCCTTGAGCTTACTATTGAAGAGGTTGACAGTCTGGCACGCAGGACACATTTCATATTGTGACCTGGGTATCTTGATCAGGGTTCTTCCACATGTCTTGCAGTGTTGTGTCGTAGTTGCCATTTTTCGTTCTTCTGGCCTACAAGTGTTAGAGAGGTGGAATTCTAGTGGGGGTGCTTGCAAGTCTTGTTGGTTTGTTTCTTGGCTTTTTATAGTATTCTTTTTTCCTAAAACGCCTATTTTGATGATTCCAGCTAGTGGAATGACTTTGTTCAGTGTTGAGAGGGTAAATGGAGAACCATATTCGCATTTGAAAGTCCTTCCAGAAGAGATATATGGGTTTACTTTTGATTTTACATTGATCTTTGGTGTGACGTCAATATGTAATTTCTAGCATATCCTCTTGTGGATGAGTAAGGACACGCAGAAAGATACAGAGAGCATCTGTAAGTGGTTGTGATTTTGAGATGGACAAACTGTAGGCCTTCCTGAAGTGGACATGGCCTTCAAAGGAGTTGCTACTTCTAGAAATTAGGAATAGAATCTAAAGCATCCACATTTCTAACTTTTAAGAACTACTATTTGAAGAGTTATTGTTGAAAATTCTCTTGTGGTTTTTATAAGAACATCCGCTGTAGAACAAGGACTCTTGTATAGACATAAGTTCTAATAAGAGCCCACTACTTGAATAAGGATACATGTTCTTGTCTACATTCCTTTTTTATTACTGTTGTTATTTATTATTTTCGTAGTGGTTTTAAATCATTTTATTTTGTTTTAATAAATCTATGAAAAATATAAGTTAAAATTGATGCAAAAAAATTAAATTAATTAATTAATTAATATAAAATGTAACACCCCAACACCACATTTGCATAAAATCCACATATATTCCATGTAACATCAAATACAAATATACACATTGGTCTCAGTATATACAAATTGCTACATACAAAAGTATCTGCAAACTTTTTTGTTCATACCAAATACATGATTTGCATATACAACAAATTCTCATATACTTGCACATAATCAGCTTCCCAAAAATCCACAAATATAAAGCAATAATAATTATCTTCACATCTTTTACTTCCCTTTACCTTCCATTTGTGTCCGATCTGTAGTGCACATTTTTTAAAACAATACAAGGGTTAGACCATAACATCTAATATGCAAATATTGTTTATTAAAGCAAACATTCATTTGTCGCATCAAAATAATGAGACAACCCCATCTTATCGCATCAAAACCATTGAGGTGTCAAACTTGTCGCATCAATACATAACACACCAACTTATCGCATATCATTGATGCGATAACACATTTTGTCGCATCATACACATGCGATAACCCCACTTGTCGCATATCAAGGATGTGATAATCCTTTTTTCTCGCATCACATTGATGCGATAAACACCATTCCTCGCATATAACAGATCTGATAAACATATTTCTCACATCTTAAGGATGCGATAACACCATATTATCGCATCACAAAGGTGCGATAAACCATCCTCATCGCATCACATAGATGCGATAACAGTTCACATATGATCAAAATTTCATTTTTATCAAACAGTTGATTATGTCACATTGATCCCAGTATACACCTTTCCTGATTATGTCACTCTTATTTCAAATATGCATCTCTCCTGATTATACTACTCTTATCCCAAAATACTTCTCTCCTGATTATGTCACCCTTATTCCAATCAGTTGATAATAACGTATCAAAATCCAAATTTATGCTAACACATAGCAAATAACCATTTCATAGAACACCTCATCCAAAATCATACGGTTTCATAATAAAACATATCAAATGATGTTTGTAAAGTAAAAACTCACCTTGTAATCACAAATAAATGAAGATTTTAACAACAACAATTAATCAAATAAAAATCACAAAATCCAGTTCTTCCTCTTTATTTCTTTTTACTCGAACTCACGAACCACAAATAATTCTCACCAACATTCTCTCCTTATTCTTATCTCATCCAACCATCAAAAGTGAAGAATAAAAATGTGTGTGTATAGAGTTTGGTTCAAATGTTAACCAAGATTATTGTGTTAACTTTGTTAACCAAGCTCAACCAATAAAAATCAATCTTTTATTTAGATTCACATACATATGTTAATGACAAGGGTAATTAAGTAATTTTATCATTTTGTGTAACTCCCATATCATTAATTGGGAGTTACAAAATCTAAAAATCTCATAATTGATGATAATTTAATATTGATCTTGATTTTCAATTTGTGATTGTTTTTGAAATTTGATTTATATATCTATAATGTTATTGAATTTGTGATTGTTAAAGGATTTCCGATAGTAAAGTTTTCGATATCGTCCAAGCTCATATGGATAAACCCATTGGAAAACAGATCGACAACAATGAGAATAAGAAGGTTAAAATGGTTTATGATGACAATCGGACTTCGAGTTCTGGAAGTGAAGACAATGATCTAAACGTTTGTATTGGTAATGGATTAATATGATATTGCATTCGTTTTAATCGACAGTTCTCACCTTTGACAGTTTTCACTTATCTTGCAAAAAATGTGACTGCAGCTGGCCTGTTGAACAGCTTATGTATATTTAGGAGCTGGCTCTGTTGAGAGATTCAATCAGTTTACAGGTGAAGATATATGAAGTTAACACACAGTGCATTAGATGTTTATATGAAGACATAGGGACACACACAGACATATGAACACATATGAACACATCAAAAATCACACAGCCTTAGATGTCGTGATTCATAAGTGTTTATGTCTATTCAAGTCACTAGATGTTCATATGAATTCATATACACACACAGAGAACATGTGAAGACACGTGAGCACATATGAAAACATACAACCCTAGATGTCTTGGTTCATACGTGTTCATGTACATACAACAGAGTTGGCTTATGAAATATAGAAGATGTTCATACTGTTCACATGTTGTACATATCTCTCTCTCTCTCTCTATATATATATATATATATGTGTGTGTGTGTGCGTGTGTATGTGTGTGTGTGTTCATATGGTTCTTACATTAACAAAAAAAATGAGATTTTTTGATTTTGTAACTCTCAGTTAATGATATGGGAGTTACATAAATTTTTTTTACCTAAGTACCCTTTTATCCTTTGTTCACATTTGTTTTTTGAAATTATAAATTTAAAAAATTAAATTTTTATCATGATTAATCACAACCGTTTATTGTAAGAATCAATGGCCAAGATTGGTTAACAAAGTTAACACAATAATCTTGGTTAACATTTGAACCGGCCCCTGTATATATAGTATATATATAGGTGGAGGTTCAAACGAGAACACTTCTATTTTACGTGAACGCGAGAACACTCTTATCACATGTGATAATACGCGTGAGAGGACCCTGTGATGTGTGGACAACGTGTTTTACGACTTAGGTCATGCCAAAGGTTGTTTGCGTCTATGATTTAACATCACATGTGATGGTCTTGATGGATTATAGTATCATATCAACAACACTTTTATCGCATGTGATAATACTTGTGAGGGGGCTTAGTGGTGTAAGTGCGACTTGGCCCGCAACCAAGATCGCATCGAAAACCGCCCGCGTCTTTGATTTAGTATCATATGTGATGAAATAACAGTATCACATGTGATAGTCTATAGTAAACGGATGTTCTCGCGTTCTCGTAAAATGAAGGTGTTCTCGTTTGAACCATTCCCTATATATATATATATATATATATATATATATATATATATACTATATTATAAAGCATATGACAAAAACTCTTAAAAACCAATTTTTATACATTAAATATTGTTTATTGATACATATTACTTAAAATTCAAGATTACAAGTAATTGTGCATGAGTACAAGTGTACAACTTATTAAAACTTTATGTTTGAATTCGTGTAACTAACTACGGATAAACATAATCAAATAGAGAATAAACATCCCATTTTAAAATCTAAAAAATCTAAAATATAATTAAGATAATTATTGAGTCTAACAGAATACTTAATTATTATCTTTATAAAAAAATATATTATTAAACCTAAATTAAGTTACTTCGTTACGATAAATTAAATTACAATAAAAAATTTGAATTGAAAAAAACACAAATATGAACTTTTAAATAGTTAATTTGATACTAATATTTACATATTTTTTGCAAATTTTATATGATGTTTTCAAATTTATATTTTATTCAAAAATAAAAACATTATCGCTTTCTTAAAACCATATAAAATCGTATTATATCAACATAAATATTAAAATAAAATGAAACATTGAAATCGAAATGTGTCTCGATGCATTGCACGAGTACCCTTCTAGTATATATATATATATATATATATATATATATATAGGGGCTTAATCAAATGAGAACTGAATTGTTTGTGGTAACCGTGAGAACCAATCTCAACCACATATTATAATAATCAATTGGTAAGATTAAAAAGAATCTTAATTAATGTATTTCTATAAATAAATTACTGTCATTTAATGACATTATATGAACAAGGGCAAGATGGTCATTTTGTACGTTAATATTCTTGTTCAATTGGAAATTTGGAATCCAAATATAGTGAAGATACTTTCCTGTATTTGAGACGGAGATGATTGCCTTAAGCTCTAGAGTAATCTCAATTTGTGCTACATTGTGGTACATTTAGTGTTGATCATAATCTGTTGGAAAATGGTGTGATACATTGTGATAA